CATCCACCGAAAGTGGTGGCACTTATATTGCCGATACGCCATCGGCGATTTTTCATGCATCAAGCTCAGCACTAGTGATGCGACATGTTCCTGATCGAGATCGGTGAATTTATTGTTTGTTTGTTGGTTTATTTGCTTGGTTGTTTGGTTTTTTGGTTAGTTTTGATTAATTTGTGCTTTGCTCTTCATTCGTGGAAATGTTTTCAGACAGAGTGTATCGTTTGTAAACGTGGCAGCACGTCTGCGAGGCGCAGCCCGACGTCGCACTAGGGGTTCGGCAGCGATGAGAGCCGAGCAGTTCTTGGAAGAGCATTCGACGGGTTAGTGTGACTATTTGATTCTGTTGTTTTCTTCCATGAACCTCGCAATTTGAGCGACTCAGTTGGTTTAGAACTGATCCTTTTTCACTGATAGGAATAAACCTAGTAATAGCCAGATATTGCTGTAATCCTTTTGGAATATCAGTCGTTTTTTACTAGTTTGCTCTATCGCGCCTTCTCTCAATTTGAAGGTTCCTCAAATTCAACTTCACACGCAAGCACCATATTTACTTGGCGATTAATTCATAGGTAATAAAGGATCTGTCACCAGAAAACTTGAAATTTCCGAAATTTTCTCGTGAATCCCAAAGATTGATTCAGATCGTCAAACGCGCCAAGCGGCATCTATCGTTCGAGCAGTTCGTGCGAGTGCACGCGATTCCACGTCGTCCTCTCTGCACCGCCTTCCGTTCTTCTCGGATATCACCTCGTTGGGTGTCAGCAGTACCGCAGAGGCTCGTCGTCATTCGAGTGCGGCCAGTCGAAGTTATTACTATCGATTGAAACTGTTCCCGTCAAAGAAAAGCGGCAAAGGAATTAAACTCAAGGTTTTCTTACCGTTTCTCAAATTTTTTATTCAGTTGTAATCCTCATCTTTTATTTTTGAATTCTTGTGTCGAACGTTTTCATTTCACGTGTTTGACGCTCCGGTATTAATTTGAGTGGTGTTTGGTTGGTTATTTCATCGAAAGGTTC